TAAAGAACATTATATAACAAAATATTATTTTATATTTATTTTTTTTCTGTACTTTTTTTTATTTTATATTTTTGTTTTGTTATATTAATATTATTTCATGTTACAGTCGAACCTCGATAACTCGAATCTCGAGGGAAAAGCTAAAATCTTTGAGTTATAGAGGTTTCGACTTATCGAAGGAGCGGAGCTTCCCGCGGAGTGGAAGCAACTGAACAAAATTTTCGTCTTATAGAGGTTTTCGAGGTTATCGAGGTTTGACTGTATAGTTTTTGATTCTAGGTAAATTTATGTATATTAACACTTTGTTTTTAGGCACACAAATTAATTGTAAAGAGATATCACCACCTGCGCAACAAACATCACAACACAACAACGTAACAGGCGGAAGCGGCACCGTAGTACAACAACAAACTCATATATCTTCCGGGGTGTCTACGCATCAGCAGAACAACAATAACAAGGGTGAAAGTGGTTTAGGTATACGACGAGGTAAAAGTAACAGCGAAAGTAAGACCCAAGCAGCACGAAACAAGCATAAAAATAATCAAAACAAAGAAAAACACGGAACTCGCACGACGTCGCGATCTGAATCGAGTTCAATTAACACGCAAAATAATTCGCAGTCGCAAATTATCGGACAAAAAGACCTTAGAAACTTTTCCGCTGATACAAATGGTGAAATGTTGCAAAAATTGAGTAACAAGTGTAAAACGGAACCTCAGCAGCAACAGTCGCAGCAACCACAGTCGCAACAAGGTAGCAAAACATCAAAATTAGTTCAATCACAGTCACACGAAATTAAAGTAAATGGTGCGTTGCAAAATGGGGAACGTCGGCATTCGGACAGTGAAACAGATCAACAGCGTGAAAATAGCACTCCAGCAAGTACAATTTCAAGTACGGAAGACTCGAATGTAAATCATCAAGCTGAACACTTGGCTGAATCGAGTGAAGATAGCAGCAGCGTTGCTGTTCTTTTGGGTGAGTTCCTTGTAATCATTGTTATCGCGATTATTTCGTTGTATATTGATTTCTTTTAAACAATATTGTATGAAATGTAATGACCTCCAAACAAGATAGAACAAACGTGATAAAACTATACTTGAAAATTTAGAGATGGACAAAATGTAGTTTTTTATTCCTTCGTTCGTTCTTGTATGTTAATCAGTACTATAATAATTTCGCAAGTAAATGGAAGTAAAATAAGTGACATTTACGGCAACATTTTAGAAACTTTGTTACTACCGAGACAGATCTGGGGTACGTTCCAAAATCTTACCTTGGTAACCGAAAACTATAGTACACGTGACGTAAAATATAGCATTTTAGTAACCAAGATAGGATTTTGGAACGTACCCCTGCAAGTCTATTCTGGCTCTATTTGGTTATTATTGGTTACGTTCGGAAAACTCAACGGTTGAGAGATCATCACTTATGATAGGACTGTTCTTCAAAATCTGCTGCGATTTCAAAAGTATGATCCAGTCAGAAGTGATTATCTCTCAACCGTTGTGCAACTGTTGAGTTGTCTGAACGCACCTATTGGCAATACTGAAAATTTGTAGATTCACGTTAAGCCCCTTGCACAATGGACGGAATAGCGATAGCGATAGAAATAATACCAGTTGTAAAGAGTTTATATTTATAAATAACGGTAGGAACAGCGAAATCTAACATACAAAAATACATGTATCAATGCAGATTAAAAAATCAGAATAAGCAATAGCAATAAAATTTCCGACGAGTTGGAATTCTGTCTAAAATTGTGTTATTTCTATCGCTATCACTATTCCTTCCATTGTGCAAAGAGCTTTAGGGTTAAGTTTTACGTATGCTATAATTTTTGTAGTACTGCCAGTAATAATCAAACAGAGTTTCTGTAACTTGATGACGCACGCGTTACTGGCATAATGCGTGCGTTATAAATCTTTGATTGAACGCAGACAAAACGTCTAACAAAATACATAGTTACGCTATCATATTGTTAACGACAATGACAAAATTGTCATTATAAGTTACAAATTAAAAAAGTTCAGTAGCTTTGTATATCGTGGTTAATTTCTCTTCACTCTGGGGTACATTCCAAAATCCTATCTTGGTAACTAAAAACTATAGTACACGTGACGTAAAATATAGCATTTTAGTAATCAAAGTAGGATTTTAGAACGTTTACCCCTGCCTGCGCAAAGATAGGACTCGTTTGCGTTATTGATGTATAACGACTTTCTATAATATATGACAATATAATTTATATAGACAGAGACGTTAATATTTTTTTACATGAAACTGTTTTTACATACTTATTTTTTGTTATTAAAATATTACTAAGACATTTATTGGTGCAACTTCATGTGTAAAGGCATGAACATCCTGCCTATATGAATCTAGTCTTACTTGCGAAAACGAGCGAGAATAAGAATAATACTGTCTGTCTCTAAAATTAGTTGAATCGATTTGTAATAACACATAAACTGTTAACATTTATTAATTATGAAAACATCAAATATCAAATTATTCACTACCTTAACGATATGAGTTTTCATTATTAAACATTTTAATATACCAGAAGATTATTTTTGTTAACTAATTCATACAGATAAATTTCCATCTATAATAGTTTTGATATAGACAGTTATATGTGGAAATCGAATTTATAATACAAATCGCGTTATGTACTCTCTGTACTGTATATATGCATATGTTTATGCAGTTTCATATGTGTAATATACATAGTATGTATACATATATTTTTCTTAAATATGTTCACATCATGTGATATTACACTTTACTCATAGAAGACTATATTTTTGATGTTAAAAAATGTTGTAATTATTATAAAATTTATAACTTACGCTGTTCTATATTTTTTCTCAGTTATTCGAAGATCATTAGAAAATTGCTATTAAAGATAATATGTTATTAGAAATCAGAAAGAATCACATAACAATCAATGTATCGATATTTTTTAATTAATTATAAAATGGCACACAATTAATCATGTTTAAATTGAACTGAATTATAATTATATAAAATTAATGTTAATTATGTTTATAATTAATATTATAAATAATTCAAAAGCATAATTATTATTTATGTTGAATAATATGTATATCGTGCAGGTTGAGTGTGTGCCAATGATGAAGAATAATTCAAAACAATGTACCAAGTATCTGACTATATTCAAAAACTGTAGTATAATAATGAACAGTTATCAATATATATGCCAAAATAAAGAGAATTCTTAAAACCAAAACAATAGTAACCGTTTTTGTGTTTTTGTGTACACTTAACTTTATACCTTACGAATTATGATGAAAGAAGTGCTGGCATGGACTATTTATCTCATAAATGATTCTGAATATTTTTTGTTTTCTCAAATTATTTAAGTTTATTTCGTATATCTTGTGATATTTCAGATACACTATATCTTTATAGCAGAATTTTATTGCTTGTGGATTAATATAAATATAAAATTTTGTTTGTCATACTTGTGACAAAATAACAGTCTGTAGTAGCTGTTTATTCTGGCATTATAAAAGTGTAGAAACAAAATTTTGATCCACGTCGTGTAGTGTAGAGATTTTTGCATATCATGTTTAGGTTCATCTCCAGCTAGCACAAATTCATCACAAGGTGCCAATCAACCACCACCACCAGGACTACACAACGGATCTCAGTTGCCACTCAATCATCGGTCACTCTTTCAGGCAGACAATAACAGTTTCTTCAGTTCAAATACTTTTCAGAAAATACCAACCACCACTTCAATGCCACCTAATTCCCTCGCAGGCATGTAACAAGTTCTACGATTGTTCTGCACAGTATTTTACTATCCTTATTATTATCATCATTATTACTACATTATTGTATTCGATGGTTTACGAAAACTTAAATAGGATGATGTTTTATCTTAAAAAAAAAAATTTACAAAATTTAAGATTATCCTATGTGTATAGTTTAAATTTCTCTACACAATATCACATTTATTAAAAGAAGTCTCGAATTCTTTTCGATGTACAGCAAACGCAAATCTGGATTGGACGAGCACGGGAGTGGCTTCGATTCCCGACTCTTTACCGTCGGTTCAGACTAGCGAAGATTGGCAAGCAGCTTTCGGGTTTCAGCCTGAATCGTCTCGAACGAATCACGTTATATCAAAACCTAGTCCAACTGATTCACCGAGAGTAACATTTAATTCCGAAGGTTTTGTAGACGAAGAAGTTTACATAAATGCACCAAGTACCACCACACTTGCGGAATTATCGTCTAGTACTATCACATCTAATTTTCTTGCAAATTCACCCGCATCTAAGTTTATGGCAGATTTTCAACAAAATTCATTACAACAAAGGCTTAATATGCAGGTAAATAGCATAATTAATATAAAATTTTAACTAATTACACATTTGTGTCGAAAAATATAAGAAAACACAAACTATGTATGCAAAATTATTTATAGCAAAAAGAACATGATTGTATTAATATAATTATAATATAATATAATATGATATATATAATATATATCATATATTTATATGATATATATTATATATCATATTAATTCTAAGGCACAACAAAATCAAGAAAATCGTGAATATATAAAACAAAATGGCCATGCTACGCTGGACGAAGTACGGAATCATCGTGATGCAAGCTCGGATGTGAAAGCAGATGACGATTTAGGATTTGATCCTTTTCACGAAACGCAGAAAGCATTAGCCGAATTAATGGAAAATGAATTGCAAATACAACAACAAAGGATATTTCAGCAACAACAACAACAACAGCAAAGAGAACGAGAAGAGCAAAATAGGGTACAGCATCAACAAACTCTTGCGAGTCTTAGTCAGCAGCACTATCCACAAGTAAATAACTTAATTTTCTTATAAAATTTCACGTACATTTTCTTATAAAGTTGCACATTTATAACGAGTTTTATTTTTTCATTATTTTTAATAAATTAAATAAAATTTAACAGAATTTATTGTAGTGATGACTTGTATAAGTTACTTTTTTGCATAAAAGTTATTTAATTCAGTAAAATATTTACGAAGACAAATGATTTTCTAGGTTGCGCACATCGCACATCTGCAGCAACAAGCTCAGCACTTACAAAATCTACAAGTGCTTCAGTCGCATTCCCTGCTATCTCGTCTTCCACAGAATCTGTTACAAAGTGGCGCGCAGAGCCCTGCTCAGGCTACTGTGACGGCTACCAGTTTAGGACAACGTAGTCGTCTTCCACCACCTGGTTTCCCTGGTTCTACACCAAATCACATGAATTCATTCGGTCTCGGTATACCACGACCAGCACCAACGAATAGCGCTCTCTCCGGTTAGTGTTTGTCCAATTTTTCCAAGCATCAGGAATCATAATGCACAGTGCGTGAAGTTTACGTATACGATCTATCGTAGTCATAGACGAAGATATATATTGTTGACTGATTTTCATGGTCTTTGTAAAATCCGCACAAAAATGGTTCAGTCTAATTACTATTATAGTGTTTTGGAAAGCTTTTGAATTAAGCTATAAGAATCTGTAATAAAACATAGGGAGGTCTATTAAAAAAAAAATCGATGTGACCTTGAGCTGACCTTAGCGGCATCATCCAAGATCATACTGATACAATCAGTAAATAGATCCTTCTAAACCCTACAACATTTTTTGTCTGAAATACTTTTCTGTAAAACTCATATTTTCTGAGATATTCAGGGATCCCGACCTTTTTGGGACACTCTGTATATATATACATATATATTTAGGTATTCATAATAATGTATTCGTACATTAAGATCGATGTATTGTCTCCTATTCGTGATTTATTTGTCCAGTGTTATGTTTACAGGAGCACAACCTCCTCAACAGGGCGCGTATCTTCCCAATGGAAGTCCGCTTCTTAACACACAAAGTAATAATTTTTTAAAATCTTTTAATCGTGTAAACATCCCAAGGATATATGAATATGTTCGAAGTTTAATATTTTTCATTAATTGTTTTGAATAGCTATTGGCAAGTGCGCAGGCGACACGGTCTATACCTTGAAGGATTGGTGTGAAATTAATAATCAGCAACAACAACAGCAATTCCATCATCAGACACTACATCAAAAAGGATGGAACAATTTTGGAGCTATTACAGATTGGACTTCAATTGATCCAGCCATAGTTACCTCGTCTAGGCCTCTTCCATTCCAAACTACAAGCACATGGCAATTTCCTCATATTCATCCTCATACTGTGACTCATAATGCACAACAGGTATGGTGCTTTTCTTTTGTATGTATTTTATTTTTGATGATTCAAGCTTAGTATCTGTCGTAAAACTAAGATTATGCAAATATCAGCGAGATATTATTATTCTTTACTAACGAATCGTATTCTTAACGAAGGAACAGAACGCACCTGCTCAACATTGGGCGATGCAACCGCCTCCTGGCTTCGCTGCTGCACCCACTACCACCGGGCAATTAAGTAATTCACAGCCGAGCACAACCGCACAGCCGCACACTAAACTCATCTCTACAGGATCCGAAATCGAGAGTAAGTTGATCGCGATCAAGCTCCGTGTAAACTGAGCAATATCTTACAATGCGCGGTATCAAAATATATAGGGCGTCTATATTGCAGACCTATAAGTTTTATGCGAGATGAACGAGTCAAGGCATCGTAATGTTTCCGGAGATGGCAGATCACATACAAATCCAGCAAATGAAAAAAAAAAAAAAAAGAAAAAAGAAAAAAACAAAAAACAAAAAGAAAGAAACTTGTTGACAGTCGATAACGTATGTTTTCCTATAACACTTCTATATTTCAATTTTATTAAAAAAAACTTCATTTATTTGTGCAAGTTTACTCAAATAAAATATCGGAACAATGAGTTCGTGTACTCCTCGCGATGTAAGCCAAGGTCATAGAATATAAATTGTCTTCACGATATTATTACGATATTATCACTTATACGTTATAGTAAAGTTTATCATATTTAAAAAGTCTGGCTTTATAGTCGGACGCAAAATTTATGTAGGGCGGATCTATTAAACAACAGAAAAATGAAGAAAATACTTAAAATAATAAGACGTGCTCGTGTTTGTGACTGCATTTTTCCTTTTCTTAACATTCTCAATTTCAAAACTACTAGTTACTTCAAGAAACACATTATTAAAACTAAAAGACGACACACGCTGGAGATACATCCTAGTTTCAAGATGGAGATTAAAATATTTTGAAAAAAGAATTTGTATATATACATGAAAAAAGTAAATGCTACACATGTTCGCATTAATTATTTAATTAATTATTTAAGGTAGAGCATCCGCTATGGTTAAATAGATTAAAAACCATTGGTTATAATATAATCTTCGATCATGTCAAAAAACAATTACATACTACATGAATATTTATTTCTTGTTAGAGTATGTTTTACCATGCGTTTATACATACATACATTTTGCTGTTTTGCTAATATTGACTTTATTGATGTCATGTTAAAAAGAAGTAATTTTGCTTTCTGCAAAAAGAGAACTAGGATTTATCGTTAGTTTTTATAAGTCTTTCATCGCTGCTTTTTGTGCACGTGTTACGACTATTATCATCGTTACTATTATCAGTAAACACACACACACACAAGAAAGATTACTTGGCAAATAATTTTTCTTATTGATAAAACCGTGAAACTGATGACGTACTTGTCATATATTGAAAATTTTGTGTAACGACAGGCTCGTTATTAAGAAAAAAACAAATTGTCTTAAAAATTTGTTAACTCAATTTGTCAATCAGTTTTTAATGAATATCTTAATTTATAGTCTTATTGTGAATCGAAAAGATTGAATATACTGGTCTTGACATTAAACAACCTTATTCTGTACTAACCGAAAGAGAATAGTGACATTTCTAATCTATACGAAAGGACAAGGCAATCGATATATGATTATCAATGTTGATAATTAAGGAAAACTACGGATGGCTGTTCGAAGAAAGAACTTAACGACGCGACGATAAATTTTACGTGCGAGGTGATAGAAAACAAGAAAAGTAAAGAAATAATTAACACTATGTACGGTAAAAAAAAAAAAAAAAAAACAATGCGAGTAATGTCTGAACGATGTACCACGATGTACATAATGACGAGAATAATGTTAAATGAAAGTTATTCCCGCGGCAGATTGAAACACAGCTCTGCTGTTTTAGAGGCGAATAACGAAAGAACGTCACATATGCAAAAGAACGCGAACGAGATATAAAAAATGAAACTATAATTATTATAAAATTTAATTCATTAAGGTAATCGAAAAATATACGATAATGCGCAATGAAATTTCTAGCCCTGATTTTGTCTTTTCTTATATTCCTTATCAATTTTCATAAGGTAATTAGATTACCTTTTCATGGAGATTTCAACTATATATATATATATATACATTATATATATACAGGGTATCTCAGAATTGGTGTGACATCTCTCGTAGGCAGGTAGAAGGAGTAAAACTGAGTCGAAAACTCCTGAACCATTTTTTTCTATTATTTATAATAAATTGTTGAGTAAATCAGACCAATCAGCGCCGACCTTTAGCCAGGCGCACGTCAGTGAGCCGCTGGTGTGTGTGAGCGCTCCGCGCGATTCACTGACGTGCACCTGACTAAAGATCGGCGCTGATTGGCCTGATTTACTCTCAATAATTACTCTTTTATTATAAATAATTATAAATTTATTATAAATAATAGAAAAAAATGTGGTTCAGGACTTTTTGACTCAGTTTTACTCCTGCCTAAGAGAGATTGTACGGCAATTCTGGGACACCCTGTATATATATATGTATACAGGGTGTTTGATAAGTACCGTCTCACCTCTCGTAATTAGATAGAAGGGGTTATTCTAAGACGAAAAGTCAATTGTCTCATTCTATCTTTGTTTTACATCTAACGAACGATAAAGATAGAATGATTCAATAGCGCGGATAGCGCGCTGTCCGAACGCAGCCTATGTAAGGTACACATGTTATTCTATTAGCTCCTTCCATTTTGTCGCTACGGCACGTACGCACGAAAGACTGAGCTGTCCTTACTCTGGATGTGCACGCTGATTAGCGGATCTTTATTCATTAATATTTCGTTAATTATTGCGAATTTTCCAAAGTGGTATAGGACTTTTTGTCTTAGAATAACCCTTTCTATCTACCTACGAGCGATGAGACGGTACTTATCAAACATCCTTAATAGTTTTTTACGGTTGGACGCCATTTGCAAAACTATGCATAGAGCTTATACTCATGGAGAGGCCTTGCCTATATGCTAACCATAGAGAGGGCTCCGCCGGGAGGATCGACAAAGAGAAATATAATTTCGATATATTTTGTCTCAACTGTGGCTCCCCCACTCCGTGTTCTCTGTTATTCTCTTCTATAAGAAGTGGCCACAGTTGAAACAGAAAAATATATCTCTCTTTGTCGATCCTCCTTGCGGTCGCAGGGCCTCTCCATGAGTATAAGCTCTATGGCATGTACACAACTAAACATGTACACGTTTAGTATATGTAACCTATCTTGTTACATATAGGATTGCAGCGTAGTTATGCATACATTTATAAAAAGAAGTTTATTTACACCTAGGACTTCTTCTTCTGGAAACCCCTCCTTTGGTCTCACATTCTCAAAACCAACATGCCATAGCTGCGGATTTCCTCCCAAGTCCTAATGAACCGTCACAATCGGCACTACTATTGTATATGTCATGAGAAGTTCGATCTCCTTCATCTTACTTCATGGGTCAGGTTATGTTTCAAATTGCAAATGGCGTCCAACCGTAGAAAACACTATTTCCTTGAGCGGATTCCCTCCCAATAAACCGTAAGAGCCATTGCACGGGAAAAAAAAAAAATTTTAGCCGTGACCGTAAGATAGTAAGCAATTCAACCAATTACAGACCAGTATTACCTTACATTAGTTGGAATGCTGGCCAGCGATTGGTCACTTTGCTTACGAGCGATTACGTCTAAACTTTTGCTATGTGCAATGGCCTTAAAAATCGGGACTACTTTTGTATCACGTAGTTTGATCTCTTTATTCTTACTTCGTGGTCGTGTCGATAATGTAACTACTCTTACTTTCTATTTTCTTCTCAGAACGTAAAACCAGAGAGAGAGAATACCTGGCCGGTGCCTAAACAGTTAAAGGGGCATGGAGCCATAAGTGCAAAGAAGAAAAAAGAAAGAGAGAGAGAATAATTTTTGAATAAATCAAGCCAATCAGCGCCGACCCTTAGTCAGGCGCACGTTAGTGAGGCGCGCGAAGCGCTCACACACATTATGGCTAGTCTACAATGGGAGTAGGCAGTATAGAGTAAGAAGTAAAGTTCTTGGAGTTCTTTTATTTTTGTCTATCAAAGTAATTATTTCGCGTTTTTTAATACACGTCATTTCATTGGCTAACAGCAAGGCAGTAGGCAGTGCGAAGTGGGAATTGCTCATTTCGTAATTCCCGTTGTTTCTTTACCGAAAAATAGTTTAATTTCTACTTCTACAGCCTTACTACCTTCATTGTAGACTAGCCATTAGATGCGTGATTTACTGACATGCGCCAAGTTAAAGGTCGGCGCTGATTGGCTTGATTTATTCAATAATTATTTCTTTATTATATATAATAAAAAAATGGTTTAGAACTTTTTGACTCAGTTTTACTCTTTCTACTTGCCTACGAGAGATTTTACACTAATTGTCGGACACCTTATAGTCAAAGGTTCAAATTTGAAAGAGTTAGCAAGAAATCAATTTTACACGATAATTACCTTAAAAGAACCTATACAGATATCTTGCGTAACAACTAATCACAATCGATTATTCTTCTGTTATTTGTTTGTGATTGGTCAATTTCTTGCTTCTGACTTCTGATTTATTACTAATATCTCATTGTAGAAGGCCCTACAAAATTTATAATTTGTTTGGAGCTACTTTTATACATTTCTTGTTAAATTTTTGTTTTGTATATGAACACAATAATGATAAGCGCCGTTTAGCGAGAAATTGCTCTGCAACAGGTAAAATTCACATAAATAAACTTGCAATAAATTTACTTATTGTTCATTATAAGATTTAATTTTTATTATAACAGTAACATGATCAAAACTGTCATATATGATGACAACGATTATTTTTAATATCAAANAAAACTTAAAATATTCTTATTTATTGGTTACAACCGTGTTTTACACAGTAAGGAAATTGTTTATCAGTACNGATAGAATATTCTCCATTCTTAACATCGTCTTTTTCCAATATTGTGCTATTGACAAAAATGCAGTTGGTTGTCTCAGAATGAGGGCATTTTGTAAGTCTACAAAAATAAAAATTATGAAAAATAAAAGAAAGAGAGAGAGAGAGAGAGAGAGAGAGAGAGAGAGAGAGAGAGAAAGAGAGAAAGATTTATAATTAGGTAATCTTGAACGGTATACATATTTACTATTTCTACTTCATGAAAATAATGAAAACAATATGCAAAGTGTGATAAAATTTTTATCTTATAAACAGACGTAAAAAGTTTTCATTTTTATCAGTCTCAAATGATGTGAAGACACAAACTTACAGAGAAAGTGCAGAATGCTGTTTAGGAACAGCAACGTATCCACAATTATACTGTAACATATAAGTCATATAGTCAATGGACCTGGTATGTGAGCAAGAGATGTCTAAACCTGAAAAATATGCATTCATTATAGTTACAATTTTTGTGGCTAGTCGTTTTAACACTTAACAACTTTCTCTGAATACATTACTTAAANGTAATAAATCTTACCGCATCCTGGTTGGCTAATTACGTTATTGAAATACAAATCGTCATGGCCTATGGAGTATTGTATTCCAAGGGGTGATGTGTGCAAAACAGTTAATTGTTCGGCGTCTGATTTGCAAAGTCTCTGCTTGCATGAGTTTGTGGAGAACCCTGGAGCTGCGGGATCAGCACCGAAAATGTGCGAAACTTTTATGTCAAGTGTTGCAGTTATATTTTTTGCAGCAAAACCGCTTACGTGTGCCCCGAGACTATGACCGAAAAACGTAATATNCTTTACTGGCATCTTACACTTTTTGACTAGCTTTATAACGTAACTGAAAGAAAAATAAGTATTTATACAAATATGTAAACAAAGGCATCATATATTTTTTGTAATACATTTTTTNCATAATACAAACTACAATTTTTATCAAGTATTGTGCTAATTGTAAGTATCTTTTTCAAGAGATGTCACATTATTAATATTAACTAATATTAAAACTTTATTTATGCTATATATTACATATATAAAATTTTATAATATTAGGTAATATTAATATATATATATATATACAGCGCGAAGTGCGCTGGGCTGTCCTACGCGCGTAAGACAGCCCTATGCACACTTATTCGTGGATCTTTGTTAATTACGATCTCGGTAACTATTGCGAATCTAGCAAAATGATATAGGACTTATTGACTCAGTTTTACTTNTTCTACCTGTCTACAAGAGATGTTATACTAATTTTGGGACATCCTNTATATAATTTTGAATATCTAAAGCATACCGTGCCATTAATTCGCCTACTTCACGGGTGTTCTTCACTGCGCTGGGATATTCTGCAAATTTCAAAATAGGAATCCCATGCGTACATGCTGCATCTGACCAGTCTAGTGCAAATACCGTAAAATTTCTCTACAAAAAAATAGTTATTTTATTAAATTTACGCTTATATTTTCATATTAGTTTTCAAGTTTATAATGTAATATGTTATTAACAAGAGAAACTTTTGTTTCTTACAGATATGTTACATCTAAGAGGTTGCCCTTAGTTTATTTTAGATAAATAATTATATGTGTAATATCTACCTTTAAAAACTGCTGAATCAAGTTATAATTATTGGTGTTATTTGGAGAACTGGTAAAACCATGAACAACAAAGAACACCGGATTTGAAGTGTCAATATTGCAAACATCTTCTATTTCGATATGCTTACCATAAGGGCATTTGCTGAACAAAATACGAACATAATTAGTANAAGGAATGAATTAAGCATAAACTAAACACTTCCATTTTACCTGTTGTATAAAACCATCCCTACGGATGTAACACCGAAGATACAATCATTCTTCAACTTTTCCAAAGAAGTCGTTACACTTATAAGATTTAATAACGCATATCCTATTAGGACAAATACTAACTTTGTGTAGCCAATTCTCTTCATTACGGTATGAAAAAAAAACTATCATAGCTGATAAACTGGTAAAAGTTTCACGAATACTGTGTTTTCGTCGTTAGATGCTTTTATACTTAAAGTTTTCGAAAATATTGATATTTTTAACATCACTGATAGCTGTGTAAACTACGGAAACTTGTGTAATATCGATAGAAAACATAATAGTCAGTGACATTATTAAGTCATCGTACAATAATTTTTTTCTTTATAACTCGATATTTGTGACATGTGCTAGACATTGAAAAATGATAAAGTGCAGCATACATAGATATTACTTCAACATAAATAATCGGTTTTTGAAATTATTACGTACTTGTCGACGCATTATACTTGCACGTGTCAAACATTTATTTTATGAGTTATCTAACGCAAATTATCTATACAGAACATAACTTCCATTAATCATTATTAAATATTGCATAGACTTGTTTGACATTTAATGAAATTCTTGGTTTTTGTTTGAGTTAGATTTAAATTTTACTTACTAAATTTTTAATCTAAATTTTAAATCTAAATTTTTAATTGAATTGCCTCGCACTGCTACCTACTTGTAATAAATTGCTAGAAATTCAAGACTTGACCCGAGGTACTTTATAAAATAGATAGACGTACAGTTGAGTAAATGTGTAAATATTTCGTATTAGATACTGTCGCGTTTTCGACAAAAACTTGACAAAATTCTAAATAAATTTGCTCTTAAATCTGAATTCAGATTTACAGTTTAGTGCCAATCTATATATACATTAGACGGATCTGCTTAGATTTTATGTCAATTTGTCANCTAANTTTTGAAAGCCAATGTTTGTTTTTTCTATCTACAATTTCAATAACGGAAAAAACAAATTCTGTATCCAATCTCTGTAGCGTTTCAATACAATTTGTCGCGAGCATTTCTGCGAAATCTGTTCTCGACTTGGCTAGAGCCCCGATAGGAAAACATTAATGAAATTATGTGACAAAATCTTGCATGAAAATTGTGATTTGCAATTAGGTAGATATATTTTGAAAAGTAGATCTAAACATATTGATCTTTTATAAAATATTTGTAACTGTTTGCGAAAGTAATTTCCAAATA